AAGGCAGGAGAAGCCCATTTAGAACGGCTAATTGAACGAAAGTGGCTACAACATATGTTCGCATCGGTGTAAACGTACAAGGTGCTCGAGCCACGACAGGTGGTACAGCTTTATAGTTGTTTCTTTGTCCTTCCGCTTCCCTCCGAAAGCCGCGATGGCACATGCCGCGAACGCTCCGGATGCAAATGGCAGTCCATCCTTGCTGATGTGCCACTTGCACAAGGTCGGGTCCCCTGCGCACGTGGAATGCAAAATGGGTACAACGATACCGCGTACGGAAAAAGGGGAGGCTTCAAAGACATGTCTGGTCCACTATGGCACGACACAGGAGTTGCGGCCATAATTGCTCCGGCCATATGACATGCGAACACGCACCATCGTCTGGGACGGGGACGCAATATCTCTTTCGGGCACGCTCCCCAGTGCGCTCCGTCTTACGTGCCCAAGGACTGGCCCTGTCCTCGTCGTCACGGAAAAGACCAATTCGTGGAAGAAAAACTCCGCGAGCGCGGATAACCTGCACGACGATATAGCCAACAGGTCAGATGAGGTCGCAGGACGTCACCGCTGAAAGGGGGTTGCACGGTGGTATATAGCGACTCTCATGCTTTAGTCCCGTCAAAGGCATCAGTAGTCTTGGCGTGGAGGCCGTCACTGTCGAATAGAATGAACTCCACAGGTGCGGCCGTCTGGCTTACAATCCCGCTCGGGTTTGTTACCACCATCAAAGAATAGTGTTCCCTGCACAATTGAGAGGTCTTTGTTAGGCTGGGGCGACAGACGGGCTTATAACAGCGGCGGGCAAAAGACGTACTTACCCGGCAAATACCGGGACGGCGATGTAATCGTACTCGAACACAGACGGGCCCGTGCACCTCCCAATCGGCTTCCCGTGAATCTTGGCATACGCATACGCCTTGCTGTCAAGGACCACCCATGATTTCCCGTTCGGACACCTTGGGTACCTTATGTTCAGGAGGCTGCACGGGTGCGAAGGGACCACGCACGATGAAAGTTTAAACGTTAAAGTCGGCATACCGTAGGGTGGCGACAAAGCAACCTGTAGGAGTATCGCCATCCAAAAACGTACATGTTATGGAAATCGACGACCGCGTCCCCCAGATATTTCTTGTCGGCGAGCGTCAAGGCGTCGTGCGCATTCACTTGACAGCCCACACCCATGTGGTTATACAGAGACACCGTCTTAAAAGTCGTTGAAGATGGTGCATTCAGTAGAGCAGTCAGCGCGTCATTCGGCGCGGGCTCATCTTTGACGCATGGCAGCCGCGAGCCCCATGCGAAAACCGACGCGGCCACTGCGGCTTCCGTATTCGTATCCCCCTGCTGGAGTTCACCGAGCGCAGCCGCTTGTTGCTCAGCGATTCCGGGATCGTGGTGTTATCCCGCCGCGCCGCTGCCGGTGGCCTACGCGATGTCATGGCTTGTGGACTATGGAGGCCGCGTTTAGAGGCCTGGGCTTTGGTTCGCGGTACCATGGCTACTACGAGTTCGTGAGAGAGGCCGAAACCCTAGTGTGGCAAGAACTTAACTGTCGGGCTGTAGTGCGATTGAAGCGTTTATACACTCCACCAGGCACCTTCGGGTACAAATATCGGATTTGCTCAGACGACGGAGACCCAGGGTCAGAGCGCGATTCTAGAATGTGGATACCACCATGGCGGTTCGTGATTGGCAGCGGGTTCCAGCCATATTTGACACTTGTCACAGTGCAATTGAGCCGAGATTACTGTACCCTCGTCAGCATGCACAGCCGAGACTATGCGGAACCTTTATACACTCAATTGTGCAGCCCTTATCGGGACGACATATGTCCCGTTATGAACATAACCAAATGCGATTAACAGCGAGTATGATGTTCACCTCCCCGATATGGCACAATCTGAAGAAAGCGCGAACTAATTTTGCAGTTTGTGCTCGGTACACCCAGTTGACCATGAAAGCGTGCCAACACTCCACAAACCACTCCACACCGCTTCCAATCGTCCCAGCAGCCCGTTCCTCGATTCCCGTAGGACGGACACTTACAAAACCCTAACGTCCGCCTAATGTTACTGATTTTTTGTTGGTAGTGGCATGATGAGCGCAACGCGTTGTAAAGCGCGCGACGTGCTGGAGCCTCGTCGGCGCAACACCCGGGGTTATTTCATACGGTCTAAGCCCACTATAGCCTACGCCATAATGCAGGTGCAGGGTGCCATAATGTCACAACGAGGTGAGACCCTTAGCGCGGCCACGATTCTGATGTCTCTGGACCCATTCCTGGGTAGTGGAAGGCGCAGTCCTAGACAGCACAGGGCGCGCGCGATTTCAGAAGCCCGTGCGTCTCTTGCAATAACACCCGATGCACCCACACCGTTCATGTACCTGAGGCTCATATACGCCACGTATCCGGACGAGTCGGAGTCGAGCATTACACGTGCCAAAGGTCGACGGTTTATGACGTCAATAGCGGATTACAGACTCCTAAATCACAGCGCAACAAGCCTCGAGGATGTCATACTGCCAGAGTTACCGACATTTGACTACAGAGTCGTTCTAATGGCCGAGGCAAGGGCGATGGGATATGAGGTGAGGATTGTTGGCGTGCCGACTGGGTGTGTTTCCGATGGCCATTGAAAGGTGTGGGATGTTTATCTGGTGTGCAGGAGGAGAGACATCGGTCCGATGGGTCCAGGATTTCGGCACCTCACTCAAGAGACATATGCACGGGAGGTGGCACCTCATCCATTGTAAGCCGTATATGTTGTTCCGTTGATGCCCTTACAAAGGACGGTGTGTGTTGTGGTGCCTGCATATCCTACGCTAAACCCAGATGAAGCATGTTTCAGGTGCACAGGCCAAGGTATCTACTAAGCCCATGCAAGAAGAGTCCATGACGGGCACCTCATCCAAGACTATTGATTGTGCCTACGTTCGCCTAGTAAAGTATAACGCCAACCGGTAGACAGGGCCTTTTGACTTATCGGCGCGTGGGCATAGGTTGTTACGGAACGGGATTAGACTGTGCCGTCGAAACGTTGAAATACTTGCAGATGTAGCCAGTTTGAGATTTGATGTATCATGTAAACATCAAACCTTAAAAGTTTTCAGGGCCGTTCACACTATCGAGCTTCTTTGTACATGTCGTGTAACACACACCGTAAATCAATCGGGTGTACAACGTCAAACGGCGAGATTTTGGCGGCGATATCGCGGACGGAAATGGCTTCCGAAGTGGCTTCAAACAATTGGGAGGCAGATACAAGGAGTCATTTAGCACTGTGTGGCTATTCGTTCAAACCCTAACCTTATTCCCGGTATGGCCTCCCCTAGCAGCAACGACACAGAGGTAGCGGCGCGTCACATAAACAAGCTACTGGGTGGTAGCTTTGATCGAGATGGCACGCGTATGCAGGGACCGCCAGCGTGTGGTGATATAAACGCGGGTGCCGACATCAGTCGAGATAAAACCGTCATTGTGACTGTTACACCCGAGCCATACACCGGTAATGGCCGACAGCCGGTGGTAGACTCATCTGATGACGAAACGGAGGATGGAGTCGCGGGGGCTACGCAGTCAATTACGGGACCTGTGAACCACGAACAGCCCACGATATCAGCAGGGGGGAATGTAGATGCTGCACACTCGGTACCTAGTAGCTGGGAGAGGATGCAGATGGAGGAAATAGCCGCGGGTGCGGAGCGCGAAGATCCACCGGCCGATTCACGCGAAGGTTCTACCCGCGTGAATGATCTCTTCGACTTCTTCTTCCCTGGCAACAGGGGCGACGCGAATAATGTGCCCGTTGAGACGGGAGAGTCAGACCCTCCAAACCCGTCCAGGTCTAGCTCGGCGTACAGGGCCCCGGGTACTTGCGTGTCTAGCGCCGCTACTCCTACGAGGCACGTCCGGTCACAGACAGGTGAGTACCAAACAACATGAATTGCTTGACTGTGTGCTGCCACTTGTGGGAGCCATGTTGCACGTTATTTACCTCGCGCTGCGCTGCGTTGCGCACATGTCCCATAGGATGTCCGGATGAACGTACACACGAGTATGGGCGGCGCCGCGAGAGGCGGAGGCGTACGCACGTCGAGGACCCCGGAGGTAAGGGCCGTCCTGTTATTTGCCGTGGCCAATGCTTCACATTGCCTCACGACTTGTCTTTGTGCCCTTATGGCAGATGGTACCAAGACCACCAATATTGATGGAGCGTTGCTCCTGTTAGATGTACTTGATCGTCTCATGCGGCGACGTCGTAGTCGGCGTGACCACCGTGGCAGCTATTACTGATAAGTTTACCCCCATATGGCCGGAATGTAAAGCATGCCGTACTTGGAGTGCATGTAGTTGCCCTGAACCCGCTTATGTATTAGATTTTAAGTATGCCATTGTGGTTTTGTGTGACACATGTGGAAAAATGCATTGGCATAGGTTTCGTAGGGGTGTGGACAATTGTTGTAATAATTCACCGTTTATGTCTGGCAAGGATGGGAGATAGTCCATCGGAAATGACAGACGGTGTTTGAACATTGATCTTCTATGTTTTGCTGTATCGAGTATATTCCCACGTCGAGGTGTAACCACCGCGCCTGAACAAAGCAAGTGCATACTTCACGAAGGGATTTCTTACCGCATGCATTTCAGCCGGTTAGGGTTTCTCGTTACGGATAAGGCCGCCCGCCCGGACTCTCCGCCCTTTTGTGCGTGCACGATGTATTTGACGAGCCATTATAGCAGCTGTGATAATGGGGTGACGTAGGCGGAGGACCCATGTTCCGAACATGCAGTATTAGTAACTGGAGTAATAGAACGGTCTGCGGTGCGCGAGACGTGGTGTACGGAGTTTCGGTGGTAGGATGCAGGGCGTGCGCGGCTCAAAAACAGCATAGGTGGTACTGCGTGTAGTGGAGAACATGCATGACGGTAATGGTTAGCTAACGGGAATTAGAGGGGAAGTCAGGGAACGGCCATTGGGTGTGTGCGCAGATTAAGACACATGGCAGGGAACAGGTGCGGGGCGTGCGGGCAGGAGCTGGAGTCAGACAACCTACTGAGAATCCATCTGTATCGCAATGACACGTGCAGGGACACGCTGCTCGAGAGGCTCGAGAGTAGGGCGGTGGAGGCGTTGGCGGAGGCTTTGGCCGAGGTGAGAAATAGCCCGCATCATTCGGACAGTGAGTCAGTCCCGGGCAGCCCCCACTCCGCCGACTCGCTGTTCAGATATTTGAGAGAGTTTCCCGAGCACGCGGATTTTGTGCGCGGGTACGTGTCGACGTCGGACGATGGATCTGTATCCACAGTTGGCGACCTGTTCAACACCCTGAACGAGCTGTACCTGTTCTTTAAGGACGCTGATTTGTCGGACAGAGAAATAAATAGAGTGTTGCACATATTCAACCACCCGGGATACGATCCTGCAGCGGTTCGGCGCTGGCAGAACGTCGCCGACGTGAGGCGGTTTGGGGAGGAACACGCGCCGGACGACATGATGCCGTGGCTCAAGGCAGAGATTGAGGTGCGGGGCCCCGGAGGAAGGTCTCAGATGCTAGAACTGCTGTACAAGGACACCAAGCTGGTGAGCGATTGATGGTTGGTGCTGCACGGAGTCGGCGAGTGTATGTCTGTTTATGCACCGTCTATACACAGGCTTCCCGCGCCTCCTTGTGGACAGATTGCGCAGAAGATGGTGAAGACATTCGTGAATGTGAGGGGATTTGTCAAACGGCCGCGGCGAGATTCGGAAGATACGGCGGACACAAGACATTTCAGTACCCCCGACACAGGGACTTGGCTGGAAGAGGCGCAGGCAAGTAGAGGCAAATGTTCCCAAGCGTCACATGGGGCTCTGATGTGAGTTGGTCTGACTCTTTTGGTCGCCTTGTGTCGTTGTCAGGCGGAACTGCCGGAGGAGGATTCTATGGTGCTGGGTGTCATCTCGTACAGCGACAGCACTTACGCGTCGGGGAACGGACGTCTACAGGCATGGCCAATGTTGATGGGTTTGGTCAATGTCCCGGAGGAGTTACGGTGGCGTGAGCCTGGGCACGCGCTAGTGGGTGTGCTCCCTTTTCCGCCGGAGTGGGCATCGGCGACGGAGAAGACGCGGGTGTATCAGGAGGCGTATCGCATCGTGATGGGTCCGCTCATGCGTGAGAGCCGCGAGTAAGTGGTCCGAATGCATGCTCTAGGCCGTTGGAGGCGAACGGGGTCATTGTCGGTTTCTGAGACCCATCAAACATGTACGTGGTGCATGCAGTGGTCCTCTTCGAGTCTTCGATGTGTCAGACGGCCGGAGAGGTGTGGTCAAGGCATATCCATGCCTCTATGCATTTGTTGGCGACTATCCGGAAGGGTGCCGGGCCACAGCAACGATGCAGCAGGCGTCGCACAGACCGTGCTCGAGCTGCTACATCAAGAAGGCGCACCTACATGACCTGTCAAACCAGTCAATAGTGCGCACTGTGAAGGGAGAGCGGCACGCGGCGGCGAAGATACTGAGCGCTACGACGGTGGAAGGCGCTGCAGCGATCCAGGCCAGGTGGTCTACGCATCCGATCACGGTGCGCGTTCGATGTTTGTGTGTGGCAAGTCACATGGCCGCGGCCATGATTGTAGCGGCTTGATGTTGCTTTTTATGATGAGTCTGATAGCACCATCCAACGTGCAGAGCGTCCTGGAGCGCTGGAACTTCTCTGAGACGAAGTGGGGTAACGTCTTCCTGGCGGTTGTTGGCGACATATTGCATGTGCTGGATTCCGGGGTGCTGGTGCATATGGCCACCTGTTTCATGGAGGGGAAGACGAAGGCCGAGATTCGGGGGTTTGATCAGTGAGTACACAGAGATTCCGTGAACTGTTTTGTATGCGGTAGTGCGTACGTGGCGGAGCTCACCACGGGAACAATCCAATCTCGTTGCTTGTGTGTGATTGGTGCGTGGAACAGCCGCAAGTTTGGCGTGAAGGGCGAGACAAGGAGTGTCTTGGTGCGCATCCCGGGTGGCTCCACCTTTTTCCGCAGCGGGGCGAATTACGCGGCGTTTGAGTATCGTGGCATGATGCAGGTTTTCCCTATTGTCATTTCCGACCTGTGTGTGGGGCGCTCTGCGGAGGAAAGGGACCAGAGGGATAAGGAGGTTCGTGCCTTCCGCTACTATGCGGTCTTCTACAAGTCCCTGCTGGCTGTGACAAAGCACACGCGGCTCACAATCGCCATCGCGAGGCAGCATGGCATCTCGTGAGTGGACATGATGGCCACGTGTTTCGTTGCTACCATAGGCCATGTTGTACACTGTGGTGATTCTTTCAATGTTCGCATTACAATGTGCATACAACTCCGTGTAGACTGGTGGCTGCACTGCAGGCGGCTTTCCCGAGGCAGAAGTCGAAGTGGAACTTCGTGAAGCTCCACGAAGTTGTACACCTCATCAACGGCATATCCATGAGGGGTTTGCCGCACGAGTATTCCACGGAGCTGTGGGAGCATACCCACAAGGGCACCGTGAAGGGCCCCGTGCGCGGAAGCAACTGGAAAGACATACCAAGGAGGATTGTCGAGGAGGAGACGCAACGCAAGATCACTCGGGAGATTGCAGCGCTGTCAGGAGGAGGGAGAACTTACTACACCGCCCTGCGAGAGGTACACAACGCGTCGCCGTGTAGTGTTGGTGGCATTTGTTAAAGGCACGCAGGTATGCGAGGTGTTTAGGGTTTAATGACTCCACCGGTTCATCCCATGCGTGCTCACAACCCACCCCTCAGGCTGTGCGCAGCATGAAGCCCGCGCTGACCCGCACCAGCAAGGCCATGTGTCTCATGACGGCAGACGATCCACTGCGGATGCTGTACAGGGAGACGGTCGGCAGCGAGTTTGACAACATGGTGACACTCATGGCCGCGGAAGGCTTTCAGACTTCACGTGTGTTGGTGAGATGCAGTGTCATGTTAGTAACTCGGTAATCAAGCTGTTGGCTTCGGTTGTAAAGAGGTTGGGCCGTTGTGTGTTGGACACGTACGTGAAGAGGCGTCATCGTACAATGTGTTGGTCCTCATGCAAACCCACCCATACCCGGCAGGTGCACACCGCAGTGGCCATCCCTAGCACGAAAGGGGGGTACTTGGTTCCGAAGGCGATGTTCGTGAAAGCAAGCCCGAAGGAGAACTGGTTCACCGACATTGCAATACCGGGAGAGAGGGAGGAGGAGGAGGAGGAGGAGGAGGAGTGGTGGTATGCGCGGTGTCTCTGTATTTTCAGGGCGGTGAACTACAGCGGGGAGGAAGGTGCATATGTATTCGTGAAGTATTACGAGGAAGAGGGGGTGTGTCCCCAGACACTTTGCCCCCAACTGGTGCCGGGGCGGAAGGAGGCCACGCACGGGATCATTGAAGTTGCATCGATCGAGCGCATTGTCCACGTGTGCAAGTCCTTTACTAATCCTAGAGTCAGGCTACTCAATAGGTTTGCACTCATCGACTGATGGATTTGAACGCATTGCGACATGAATAACAAGATGGCCCTAAGTGTGGCCCCAAACATGGAGTAATAACGTTGTTTTGATACGGAAGTGGGATATGGCCGGGATCACTGGTGAACTTGATAAATTGAAGTCACAATTGTAACTGCAAAGTAGCGTTGGAGACACTTCAGTGTTGTTGCTGCAATGTCACTTTGGCCACTCAGCTGTAAATGTGCGCGCCGAAGCTTTTCCGAAGCTTTTCCGAAGGTTTCCCGCAGGAAAAGCTACCGTGTACATTTTGTGCAAACTCGGAATTTCGCGATGTTGGATTGTGGAAGATGGGATGGGGAGGCGACGGTCGTAGTCTACAGTCTTCTTTGCTTTGCAGGGGCCCTTGTTCTTGGAGGAATAGCATTTGTGGTAGCACCTGCAGCAGCCATAGGATTTGGAAAACGCACTGTCAGGTTAAAGAGAATGATTGCAATATACAGCTAAGAGATGGTTGTGTGCACATTCCACATTATGGTCATCACGCATCACCACTAGTAGCTAGCTATCGTGCACATCGCGGAAAAGGAAGAAGCACATTTCAGGGGTCCGTAGGTTTTTCTACGAAAAAGCATACAAAAAGTCCCATACAGTACACAAAAGACCCCAAACCACATGTGACGCAAATGTCACATTTTGGGTTTTCCCCTTATACACTTTTCGCCCTTTGGATGCTCGCACCGCACATTTCATGCAATGTGTCGCACGTTTTCGACGGACCGCACATTTGGGATTCCCGTGCCAATGTAATTCCCTGCGCCGCACGTTTTTCGCCATTCAGCGACCACTGCTGATTGGGCTCGTCTGTTGTGTGTCTACGCAATTAGGAATGTCAACGTAAGATACACCACCGTCATGCTCAACCCACATATACTGCATACAATACTGTTCAATAGTGTTGTGTGGTCACCATCACGTGATTTTGGTCATCGCCCTTTCACACATAATCAGCGTCAATTGCGTGTCACACGGTGCGACAAGCCACTGAACTGTCCCGTGAACCCAGCGATTCAAACCCTCTCATGTTCACTCGGTCAGCAGGAACCTGTTGAGCAGCATGACACGCTTGTCCACATAAGACATGCAAATGTGCACCACCCTCTGGATGCACTCTACGTTCACCACAGCATACCTTGTCCTCACACGGCCGGGTGTCAACTGCAAGCAAGTTGTCATCGGGCACGTGCCCTCCGCCTCGTAGTACTTCACGTACACGTGCCTCCCCATCTCTCCATCCACCCCCTTTGTCCTGAAGATGCATAGGCACCTTGCGTACCACTCTCCCTCGTCAGGGTTAAGCACGGCCACGTCTGAAAACCACTTCTCTGATGGGCTTGCCTTCACAAACGTACCCTTCGGCACAAGCTCCCCGCCTCTTGTTCGGGGTATCGCCACAGCGGTGTGCACCTGCGCATGACGGTCAACATGAGGGCAATTCTGGTGACTGTACCCACAAGTACCAGGACTCTAGCACGAGCGGCCCACGATAGTGGTCCACATGCCACATGAAAATGCATAAAAGCCGGCCTCACCGCGATGGATGGCGACGGGAGGCCTGCCGCCCTCATGCAGCCTGCGAGTGCGTCCATGTCGGACCCATGTGCCTCGCGATACACCCACATAACCGCGTCCAGGTCCTCGTCCACATTGGCCGGACGTGATTTCTTCGTTAGGACGGGTTTGCGCGTCCGTACAGCCTGTGTGCACACGGATTGTGATACAGTCGCTTAACGATTCCATGAGGTTACCGCACTCCGACACAATACGTCATGCTACATGGTGTCGCAGACTGCATGCCGTGTACTGCAACTACCTCGCGCAGCGCCGTCACATACTGCCTGTTGCCGCCTGCGTCCGCGGACACCTCCCGCGCTATCTCGCGCTGCACCTCCTCCTCGATAATGCGGCGTGGAATGTCCTGCCAGTTGCTTCCTCGCACCGGCACCTTCACTGTGCCCTTGTGTGTGTGCTCCCATAGGTTCGTGGATGTCTCGTGCGTCAACCCACGCATAGGGATGCCGGCAATCAGGTGCACAATCTGGTGCACCTTCGGGATGTTCCAGCCTGAGATCTGGTCGGGAAACGCAGCGACGATTGCCACCATCATTCTGCACAGCGACACGTGAGGCGGATATAAGTCCGGATGTAATGGCACATCACATTTCAGCACATGTCGTTGCACACCACTCCCCATACTACACCTACACATTCCTACAATTTGAAAGTTTAGTGCACACCAGGGTCTGCACGAATCACGGAACTTACGTCACTGCCATTGCTCTGACGTCGTCCAGGGTGTCGTCCGTGTGCTTTGTCACGCCGACAAGCGCCTTGTAGAAGCTGGCGTATGCCACAAACGCCGCCACCTCCCGTTGCCGTTTCTCCTTCTCCGCTGGTTTGCTCCTCGCCATACTGTCGGCAATCAGCAAGGGCATCACCTGCATCATCCCCCTGTGCTTGAAGGCTGCGTAGTTCGCCCCACTGCTAAACCATGTGGCCCCTCCTGGTATGCGCACCACACTTGCGCGCGTGTCCTTCTTTTGCTCCTTGCGGCGCCTGCCAACCCACCCATCTACGGTCAGCCACGTGCATTGCATGTTCATCACGCGGCAGCTAGAAATATCCGGATGAGAGCGTACACACCTCTCAAATTCCCTTCGCTCTGGCTTGCTCTTCCCCACCATGAAGCACTTGCCCATGCGTGGGAGCATGCCTGCGTCCAGGACGTGAAGAAGGTCCGCGGCGCATGCGAGGAACACGTTGCCCCATGTTGTCTCTGCGAAGTTCCACCTCTCCAAGTAACACTGCTGCTCATGTACATTGACACACTAAGATGGGCATTGACACACGCTGAAGTCCAGGGTTTCTTAGTGTGGTACTCGGTTCTCACCTGCACCGGGTGCGTCGACCATTGCTTTTTGATTTTCTCGGCCGCCTTAGAGTCCGGGGCCAAGTGGATTGCGGCCACTACTCGTCTATGGAGCTCTACAGTCCGCACCACTGACTCCTGCGTAATGTCGGACAGATGTGTTTCCTTGGTGTAGCACGACGAACACGGCCGGTGCGATCCTTGCTGCATCGTTGCTGTGGATCTTGACGACTCTGGGTAGTCACCAAGCTGACCGAAAAGACATGGAAACGCCTTGACCACCTTTCCCGTAGCATCGGTGACGTAGAACCATCGAAGCTCTGCACTGCACGTGTCGCCACACCAAATGTCATTTACGTGTCTCATCCATCATACTATGCTTGTAACATACACCGCTCCCCTTACCCTCAGTGTGCCCTGAGTAATGGCTCAAAAATCACTTCCATGCACGCCTGGAATACTCGTGTCTTCTCTGTTGACGACGCCCACTCTGGCGGGAATGGCAGCACTCCCGCCATAAGGTGTCCCGGCTCCTGCCAGCGTAGTGCTTCCGGGATGTTGTATAGACTGATGAGTACCGGCCACGCAGCAAGCCTGCCGTTCCTGGATGCGTGCGTGCTGTCGCTGTACACGATCACCCCCAGCACAATGCAGTCTTCGTCTGGCATGCTGGCCTGTGCACGTTGAAAGACCGGTATTAGGACTAGCATAAATTGATCCGGGCGTTATCTTCTACAATGGCCATACACCTCACCTGCGCTTCGTGGCACCACTTCCCAGTGTCCGGCGTGCTGTAATGACGTACGTCCTTGGTGTCCTCCTCGTCCGTGCGCGGTTTGGTGACAAACCCCGCGACGTGCTGAAATGCCCGTAACAACTTCTTCACCAGCTGCCAAACACACTCCCGCTAATTGTTAAGGGATGAGTATAACAAGCAGTTAATCTATACATCGTCATTCCATGTATGCGGAGTGACTCTGGTTTTTTCTCACCAGCTCCGTGTCCCGGTAGTGCAACAGCAGCGTGCACATCCTCCCTCTTGGTCCGTAGCACTTGACGCCCTTCGTCTTCCATGACACCTGGTCAACTGGTGCCCTTTCGCGCCCAAACCGTCTAACATCCACGAAATTGAGCCACCTCCGCACGTCCCTCAAAGAGAACTTAGGGTTCTGGAAAATGCTGAGCAGTCTATTCACCTCTCGTCGCGACAGATCGGCTTCGCGGAAGAAGATGTACAGCTCTATGAGAGTATTGAAGCCGTCGTCTATATGTGACATAACACTCTCCTCCCCATCGCTCTCCTCAGCGGGATCTATGGGATCGTCTGGTTCATCGACAACTGCCGCAGGGTCCACTTCTCCGCCCGACGCCGAAGCGCCTCCAATGTTGTTTGTATAACGCACGGGTGTTTGGGGCCTGGCTCCGCGTCTGGCGCGGAGCGCGTCCCGATACGCCTCCACCAGCCGCTGGGCACGGGAGTATTGAATCTTGCGCCTGCATTTAATATTGTTCGACACATGCGACTGGAGTGTGTTGTCGTCAACATGCTCCAGTCCGCACGCCTCGCAGACGTTGCCCGTTGCTTCCGAGACCAGCAGTAGCAGCAGCAGCGGTAGCAGCGGCACAGGCAGCAATGTTGATGATGGGAGCTGCACTGTGCAAGAGACAAGCCCAGCTGCAGAGAGGGCGGGAGAGAAAAACGCAGGGAAAACAGCCAAGAGTGCTCCCCCAGTCCCAGTGGAGCAGTTGAGCAACTCCCTGGTGGCATCTCAGCTCAAGGTACCATTCTACTCCACCAAGGCAAAAAGCCTGCTGCTCAAGCTGAAGCTTAAAGCCAAGGTGGCTGGAGCTAAGGTGCTGGGTGGGAAGCTGGGCGTGAAAGCAACTGCTGCTGGTGCGTACAGTGCCTCCCATGTGCTGACATCGGCCGTGGGGAGTGGGAGCTTTGGTGCGGGCACTGCTGATGCTGCTGCAGCTGCTGCTGCAGGCACGGTGGATGCTCTGTCGTCGCTTAGCAGTGGTATGGGGATGCAAACTTTTGTCAGCAACAGCGGCAGCAGTATTGGCAGCAGCATGTCACTCGCGCACCATGCTCCTAAGGTCATGCTCAGCGTCCTTCCGGTCACACCTCCAGCTGGGCTATTCTCCTCCGTGCATCTCCATGATCTACTTCACGTCCTTCCCTCCTCCATTTCCCACCTTGTACAGTGATAAGGGATGGGGAGGAGACGTGACGGGAAGGAATAAGTACGAGAGACGAGATGAATAGAGAAAGTAGTAATTGTTTTTTCTGTGGGAGTGGTTGGTGCTGAATGGCCTGTTCCCCATTCAGAACCAACCATTCCCACCGGTTTTTGTTTTGGGGGGAATGGGTGCTTGGTCCAACAAGCGCTGAAATTTTTGGCCAGGAAAGCAGCCTGTTCTCTCCTGACCAGTAATTTCCACGCCTGTTATGCTCCTGTTATATTTGAAAAGAATGTACACACTTCATGACTAAATTTCTGTCACTGAGCTTGGCTTGCAGGATGCAAGTTTTTGGAATGCAATGTTATATGAATAATGTTTTAGCTGAACTAATTTTTGCCTTGAAGTTTCCCAACCTCGGTGCTTCTGATGCAGAAGTTTTCACCCATCCCCTGCTGTGGCATTGCAATGCGAATGCACAGAAGTATGTTATCGGCCGCTACCCGAAGTGTGCATCAGGATACGCCTACTATTCTTTGCGATTGGCCTTTTCGCCTCTGTGAAAGTAGCTGCGGAAGGAGTTTAAAGCTTCGGATCCGCACTACCCGGCGAGTCTCCGTCATTGCACGCTCGATCAGAACTTGAATTTCGAATGCCACGCACCGCAAGTAGTCTATATTGTTTTATTGATCCGTCTCAAAACACGCTCGATCCACCTTAGTTTTCGAATGTTATGCACCGCAAGTAGTTTAGAAGCTTAGGGTTTCTAGTTACCATGGCGGATTTCGATACAGATTCTCGGCATCCGCGCCCACCGCAGCTTGCGCGGGATACGCAGAGCGTACACGATGCCACGTCATCATCCGGTGGCGTGACATGGCAGGCGCCGTCCCCACCCTCCTCGTCCTCGTGGTGGCGGAATTTCTTAAAAGCAGCCGTCCACGTCAAGATCCCCTCCACCGCTGACGTGGCAGGTCTAGCTGGCAGCAGCGCCGTTTCCACGCCTCCCGCCGCTGCAAGCACCAGCACCAGCGCGAGCGGCATGCGCGGCGCCACCAGCGGCGGTGGCGGCGGCAGCAGCGGCAGCGCGGGTTTGAGGGTAATTCACGCTTTCGAGCCCGTGAGCATTGGAAGTACCGAGAGCAACCCGCTTCTGGCGGAAACCTACCCAATCCGCGAGGCGGATGAGAAAGACGGCGCAGGGAAGGAAGGAGGAGTTAGCATCGACCATTCCACCCGTGCAAATAGTGTCGACCAATCAGCATCCGCCCAGGAATCGGCATTCCCTATGCCGCCACCTCCCAAGCCCCCGGCGCTCACGCGCTCTCTCTCCCTCCTCGACCTCATCCTCCTCGGCATCGGCGCTTCCATTGGCTCAGGCATCTTCGTCGTGACAGGTGTCGCCGCGCGATTGGCCGGGCCGGCCGTGTCCCTGTCTTTTCTCCTAGCAGGCCTGGCGTCTCTCCTGAACGCGCTCTGCTACGCCGACCTTGCCGCCCGCTTCCCCGGCCGGGTGGGCGGCGCGTACCTCTACGGGCACGCGTGCCTCGGGCAGCTCGCGTTGTTTGTCCTGTTCTGCCACTTGGTGCTGGACTACCACGTGGGGGCGGCAGCGATCGCCAGGAGCCTGGCGAGTTATTTGGCGTCTCTGGTGGAGGTGGCATCTGGGGCAGGGCTACCTGGCGTGCTCGCACCAGGAGGCCTCCCTGTGTCCATCCCCTTGCCATTCCTCTCCCCGTCGTGGCTCCTCTGGTGGTTCTGCCATTTGTGGTCAGGAGGAGAAAACGGGGGAGAGCAAGTCGGGGGGAATCAGGGGTGGGGAGCAGGAGCGGGAGCAGTTTCCTTTTTCCACCCCACCGCATTCCCTTCTCTATCTTCTTCCCATTCTCCTCCTTCTCCTCCTCTTCTCCCCCCTCCCCCGTTCCCATCGCTCCCCTCCCCACCGCCACCCGTACCAACACTGGATCTCTCGATCAATCTCGTCGCGCCAGCTGTCCTGCTGCTCATCACGTGGCTGCTGTGCCGGGGCGTGCGGGAGACATCACGTGTGAACGACGTGATGACATCAGTCAAGGTGGCCATAGTGGTGCTGGTGGTGGCTGTGGGTGCCGGGCATGTGAACCCCGCGAACTGGTTCCCCTTCTTCCCCCCACCGCTCGACACCCTGCTCACCTCCGCTGCTCCTGCTGCCGCCTCTGCTGTCGCCCCTGCCGCCGCTGCTGCAGCAGCAACCGCTGCCACTGCCACCGCCCCTGCCACCGCTGCTGCTGCTGCTGCCACCGCCACCGCTGCTGCGTCTGCTGCTGCAAGCAACACCGGCAGCGCCAGCATGGGGGGCGTGCAGGCGATGCTATCAGCCTCTGCACTCGTCTTCTTCTCCTACATCGGCTTCGATGCCGTGGCCAACACAGCAGAGGAGTCCCTCCATCCCCGCCGCGACGTGCCCCGCGGCCTCCTCCTCGCCCTCGCCGCCTGCTCCCTCCTCTACATCTCCGTCTCCCTCGTCCTCACCGGCATGGTCCCGTACACGCTCCTCGACCCCGCTGCACCGCTCTCCACCGCGTTCGCCTCCCTCGGGTTGCGTTTCATGGAGAGAATTATTGACATTGGGGCTGTAGTGGGGCTGACAACTACTCTCCTGACCGGATTGTATGTGCAGTCTCGCATGTATCTGGCCTTGGCGAGGGATGGGATGCTGCCTGTGTGGTTTCTACAGGTGAATGCGGGGAGTCATGTGCCGGTGCATGCGCAGTGGTGGGTGGGGGGAGTGGCTGCGGCGATGGCGGCCGTGTTTGACGTGGGGAAGCTGTCGCATATTTTGTCGGTGGGGGTGTTACTGAGTTACTCTATAGTGTGTATGTGCGTGCTGGCGATGAGGGTTGAGTCGTACCGTGGAGGGGGGAGTGGCTGTGCTGGTGTGGGGGAGGAAGGGGTAGAGCGATTGGATGATGCACTTTTAGCACAAGAGGGTGTGTGTACCAGTAGCAGTACAATCAGCCACAGTCCAACTTTGACGGGACACACACACGTTCGTCCACCTCCACGTTGGATCACCCAATGGGGTGGCGACAAGTGGCACGAGGCCGTGGTGTATCTTTGTGACCCCGCTGTGAAACCTGGACTTCAACGGTTCCATGGATGGTGGTGTACAGCTGGCCCACGGTGGGGCGGGCGAGCTGGGATTGGTCAGTCATTCCGTGTATTTTTCCTACTTCTCCCTCACGTGCCTCCCCTCCTCTCTCCCAGCGTGGCCTTGACTTCAACGGTCCCATGGTGGTGTACAGCTGGCCCACGGTGGGGCGGGCGAGCTGGGATTGGTCAGTCATTCCGTGTATTTTTCCTACTTCTCCCTCACGTGCCTCCCCTCCTCTCTCCCAGCGTGGCCTTGACTTCAACGGTCCCATGGTGGTGTACAGCTGGCCCACGGTGGGGCGGCTGTTGGATTGATCGCCGGTGTATGTATCACTCAGACTTCCCTCCCAAACACTCCTTTCCTCCCTCCCTCTCCCCTCCCAGCAAGGCTTAGATTTCAACGGCCCCATGGTGGTGTACAGCTGGCCCACGGTGGGGCGGATTGATCACTGGTGTACCTGTCTTCTCTCACTCTCCCTCACTCTCCCTCACTCTCCCTCCCTCTCCCTCCCCTTCCCAGCGCGGCCTGGACTTCAACGGACCCATGGAGGTGTACAGCTGGCCCACAGTAGGGCGGCCGTCTGTGCTGGTCGCTGGTGTACCATGTACCTCTATCAATTGAAATTCTCTCAACCGCCTCTCGCCCCTCCCCCTCCCAGCGAGGCCTTGATTTCAACGGGCCCATGGTGGTGTACAGCTGGCCCACCGTGGGGCGGCCGTCCGTGTCGGTGGGGCTGGGGGTGATCAGCCTGTACCGCCAGGACGAGATCACCTGCATGCAGGCTGCCCCTGACCTCAGGGTGAGTGGGCATGCGCACTGGTAGTATTAGATATCACACCTGTACGTAACTGTCTTATAAGGGGCGGCTGGCCGTCCGTGTCGGTGGGGCTGGGGGTGATCAGCCTGTACCGTCAGGACGAGATCACATGCATGCAGGCCGCCCCTGACCTCAGGGTGAGTGGGCATGCGCACTGGTAGTATTAGATATCACACCTGTACGTAACTGTCTTATAAGGGGCGGCTGGCCGTCCGTGTCGGTGGGGCTGGGGGTCCTTAGCTTGTACCGCCAGGACGAGATCACCTGCATGCAGGCCGCCCCTGACCTCAGGGTGAGTGGGCTTCTTTTACACTTCATGCTGTGTTGATGTATATGTGTTTATCCACGTACAGTAAGACTTCATATCGCTGAGTAGGAGCCGTCCGTGTTGGTGGGGCTGGGGGTGATCAGCCTGTACCGCCAGGATGAGGTCACCTGCATGCAGGCTGCTCCCGACCTCAGGGTGAGTACACTCAATATTGTAAATTGCACATATGTATGTATATGTATATGGAAGTGTCTGTCCGTGTCGGTGGGGCTGGGGGCTGTCTTGCCAGGATGAGGTTACCTGCATGCAGGCTACTCCTGACCTGAGAGTGTATGTACTTGGTTTTGTAATAACGTAACGTAACTACGTTCAATTGACTGAGTTTTGTCTGGGTACAGTATCTTTTTTTTTTTTCCCCTGGTTTCTCGAATCGTGATTATCCATGTCAGTGCGGTTGGGGATGATCGTGGTCTTATTTCGCTGCCCCACTCCCACAGGATTATCCCCACCCAATTGCTGGGCAAAGGTGGTACTGCGTGTAGTGGAGAACATGCATGACGGTAATGGTTAGCTAACGGGAATTAGAGGGGAAGTCAGGGAACGGCCATTGGGTGTGTGCGCAGATTAAGACACATGGCAGGGAACAGGTGCGGGGCGTGCGGGCAGGAGCTGGAGTCAGACAACCTACTGAGAATCCATCTGTATCGCAATGACACGTGCAGGGACACGCTGCTCGAGAGGCTCGAGAGTAGGGCGGTGGAGGCGTTGGCGGAGGCTTTGGCCGAGGTGAGAAATAGCCCGCATCATTCGGACAGTGAGTCAGTCCCGGGCAGCCCCCACTCCGCCGACTCGCTGTTCAGATATTTGAGAGAGTTTCCCGAGCACGCGGATTTTGTGCGCGGGTACGTGCCGACGTCGGACGATGGATCTGTATCCACAGTTGGCGACCTGCTCAACACCCTGAACGAGCTGTACCTGTTCTTCAAGGACGCTGATTTGTCGGACAGAGAAATAAATAGAGTGTTGCACATATTCAACCACCCGGGATACGATCCTGCAGCGGTTCGGCGCTGGCAGAACGTCGCCGACGTGAGGCGGTTTGGGGAGGAACACGCGCCGGACGACATGGTGCCGTGGCTCAAGGCAGAGATTGAGGTGCGGGGCCCCGGAGGAAGGTCTCAGATGCTAGAACTGCTGTACAAGGACACCAAGCTGGTGAGCGATTGATGGTTGGTGCTGCACGGAGTCGGCGAGTGTATGTCTGTTTATGCACCGTCTATACACAGGCTTCCCGCGCCTCCTTGTGGACAGATTGCGCAGAAGATGGTGAAGACATTCGTGAATGTGAGGGGATTTGTCAAACGGCCGCGGCGAGATTCGGAAGATACGGCGGACACAAGACATTTCAGTACCCCCGACACAGGGACTTGGCTGGAAGAGGCGCAGGCAAGTAGAGGCAAATGTTCCCAAGCGTCACATGGGGCTCTGATGTGAGTTGGTCTGACTCTTTTGGTCGCCTTGTGTCGTTGTCAGGCGGAACTGCCGGAGGAGGATTCTATGGTGCTGGGTGTCATCTCGTACAGCGACAGCACTTACGCGTCGGGGAACGGACGTCTACAGGCATGGCCAATGTTGATGGGTTTGGTCAATGTCCCGGAGGAGTTACGGTGGCGTGAGCCTGGGCACGCGCTAGTGGGTGTGCTCCCTTTTCCGCCGGAGTGGGCATCGGCGACGGAGAAGACGCGGGTGTATCAGGAGGCGTATCGCATCGTGATGGGTCCGCTCATGCGTGAGAGCCGCGAGTAAGTGGTCCGAATGCATGCTCTAGGCCGTTGGAGGCGAACGGGGTCATTGTCGGTTTCTGAGACCCATCAAACATGTACGTGGTGCATGCAGTGGTCCTCTTCGAGTCTTCGATGTGTCAGACGGCCGGGGAGGTGTGGTCAAGGCATATCCATGCCTCTATGCATTTGTTGGCGACTATCCGGAAGGGTGCCGGGCCACAGCAACGATGCAGCAGGCGTCGCACAGACCGTGCTCGAGCTGCTACATCAAGAAGGCGCACCTACATGACCTGTCAAACCAGTCAATAGTGCGCACTGTGAAGGGAGAGCGGCACGCGGCGGCGAAGATACTGAGCGCTACGACGGTGGAAGGCGCTGCAGCGATCCAGGCCAGGTGGTCTACGCATCCGATCACGGTGCGCGTTCGATGTTTGTGTGTGGCAAGTCACATGGCCGCGGCCATGATTGTAGCGGCTTGATGTTGCTTTTTATGATGAGTCTGACAGCACCATCCAACGTGCAGAGCGTCCTGGAGCGCTGGAACTTCTCTGAGACGAAGTGGGGTAACGTCTTCCTGGCGGTTGTTGGCGACATATTGCATGTGCTGGATTCCGGGGTGCTGGTGCATATGGCCACCTGTTTTATGGAGGGGAAGACGAAGGCCGAGATTCGGGGGTTTGATCAGTGAGTACACAGAGATTCCGTGAACTGTTTTGTATGCGGTAGTGCGTACGTGGCGGAGCTCACCACGGGAACAATCCAATCTCGTTGCTTGTGTGTGATTGGTGCGTGGAACAGCCGCAAGTTTGGCGTGAAGGGCGAGACAAGGAGTGTCTTGGTGCGCATCCCGGGTGGCTCCACCTTTTTCCGCAGCGGGGCGAATTACGCGGCGTTCGAGTATCGTGGCATGATGCAGGTTTTCCCTATTGTCATTTCCGACCTGTGTGTGGGGCGCTCTGCGGAGGAAAGGGACCAGAGGGATAAGGAGGTTCGTGCCTTCCGCTACTATGCGGTCTTCTACAAGTCCCTGCTGGCTGTGACAAAGCACACGCGGCTCACAATCGCCATCGCGAGGCAGCATGGCATCTCGTGAGTGGACATGATGGCCACGTGTTTCGTTGCTACCATAGGCCATGTTGTACACTGTGGTGATTCTTTCAATGTTCGCATTACAATGTGCATACAACTCCGTGTAGACTGGTGGCTGCACTGCAGGCGGCTTTCCCGAGGCAGAAGTCGAAGTGGAACTTCGTGAAGCTCCACGAAGTTGTACACCTCATCAACGGCATATCCATGAGGGGTTTGCCGCACGAGTATTCCACGGAGCTGTGGGAGCATACCCACAAGGGCACCGTGAAGGGCCCCGTGCGCGGAAGCAACTGGAAAGACATACCAAGGAGGATTGTTGAGGAGGAGACGCAACGCAAGATCACTCGGGAGATTGCAGCGCTGTCAGGAGGAGGGAGAACTTACTACACCGCCCTGCGAGAGGTACACAACGCGTCGCCGTGTAGTGTTGGTGGCATTTGTTAAAGGCACGCAGGTATGCGAGGTGTTTAGGGTTTAATGACTCCACCGGTTCATCCCATGCGTGCTCACAACCCACCCCTCAGGCTGTGCGCAGCATGAAGCCCGCGCTGACCCGCACCAGCAAGGCCATGTGTCTCATGACGGCAGACGATCCACTGCGGATGCTGTACAGGGAGACGGTCGGCAGCGAGTTTGACAACATGGTGACACTCATGGCCGCGGAAGGCCTTCAGACTTCACGTGTGTTGGTGAGATGCAGTGTCATGTTAGTAACTCGGTAATCAAGCTGTTGGCTTCGGTTGTAAAGAGGTTGGGCCGTTGTGTGTTGGACACGTACGTGAAGAGGCGTCATCGTACAATGTGTTGGTCCTCATGCAAACCCACCCATACCCGGCAGGTGCACACCGCAGTGGCCATCCCTAGCACGAAAGGGGGGTACTTGGTTCCGAAGGCGATGTTCGTGAAAGCAAGCCCGAAGGAGAACTGGTTCACCGACATTGCAATACCGGGAGAGAGGGAGGAGGAGGAGGAGGAGGAGGAGGAGGAGTGGTGGTATGCGCGGTGTCTCTGTATTTTCAGGGCGGTGAACTACAGCGGGGAGGAAGGTGCATATGTATTCGTGAAGTATTACGAGGAAGAGGGGGTGTGTCCCCAGACACTTTGCCCCCAACTGGTGCCGGGGCGGAAGGAGGCCACGCACGGGATCATTGAAGTTGCATCGATCGAGCGCATTGTCCACGTGTGCAAGTCCTTTACTAATCCTAGAGTCAGGCTACTCAATAGGTTTGCACTCATCGACTGATGGATTTGAACGCATTGCGACATGAATAACAAGATGGCCCTAAGTGTGGCCCCAAACATGGAGTAATAACGTTGTTTTGATACGGAAGTGGGATATGGCCGGGATCACTGGTGAACTTGATAAATTGAAGTCACAATTGTAACTGCAAAGTAGCGTTGGAGACACTTCAGTGTTGTTGCTGCAATGTCACTTTGGCCACTCAGCTGTAAATGTGCGCGCCGAAGCTTTTCCGAAGCTTTTCCGAAGGTTTCCCGCAGGAAAAGCTACCGTGTACATTTTGTGCAAACTCGGAATTTCGCGATGTTGGATTGTGGAAGATGGGATGGGGAGGCGACGGTCGTAGTCTACAGTCTTCTTTGCTTTGCAGGGGCCCTTGTTCTTGGAGGAATAGCATTTGTAGTAGCACCTGCAGCAGCCATAGGATTTGGAAAACGCACTGTCAGGTTAAAGAGAATGATTGCAATATACAGCTAAGAGATGGTTGTGTGCACATTCCACATTATGGTCATCACGCATCACCACTAGTAGCTAGCTATCGTGCACATCGCGGAAAAGGAAGAAGCACATTTCAGGGGTCCGTAGGTTTTTCTACGAAAAAGCATACAAAAAGTCCCATACAGTACACAAAAGACCCCAAACCACATGTGACGCAAATGTCACATTTTGGGTTTTCCCCTTATACACTTTTCGCCCTTTGGATGCTCGCACCGCACATTTCATGCAATGTGTCGCACGTTTTCGACGGACCGCACATTTGGGATTCCCGTGCCAATGTAAATTCCCTGCGCCGCACGTTTTTCACCATTCAGCGACCACTGCTAATTGGGCTCGTCTGTTGTGTGTCTACGCAATTAGGAATGTCAACGTAAGATACACTACCGTCATGCTCAACCCACATATACTGCATACAATACTCTTCAATAGTGTTGTGTGGTCACCATCACGTGATTTCGGTCATCACCCTTTCACACATAATCAGCGTCAATTGCGTGTCACACGGTGCGACAAGCCACTGAACTGTCCCGTGAACCCAGCGATTCAAACCCTCTCATGTTCACTCGGTCAGCAGGAACCTGTTGAGCAGCATGACACGCTTGTCCACATAAGACATGCAAATGTGCACCACCCTCTGGATGCACTCTACGTTCACCACAGCATACCTTGTCCTCACACGGCCGGGTGTCAACTGCAAGCAAGTTGTCATCGGGCACGTGCCCTCCGCCTCGTAGTACTTCACGTACACGTGCCTCCCCATCTCTCCATCCACCCCCTTTGTCCTGAAGATGCATAGGCACCTTGCGTACCACTCTCCCTCGTCAGGGTTAAGCACGGCCACGTCTGAAAACCACTTCTCTGATGGGCTTGCCTTCACAAACGTACCCTTCGGCACAAGCTCCCCGCCTCTTGTTCGGGGTATCGCCACAGCGGTGTGCACCTGCGCATGACGGTCAACATGAGGGCAATTCTGGTGACTGTACCCACAAGTACCAGGACTCTAGCACGAGCGGCCCACGATAGTGGTCCACATGCCACATGAAAATGCATAAAAGCCGGCCTCACCGCGATGGATGGCGACGGGAGGCCTGCCGCCCTCATGCAGCCTGCGAGTGCGTCCATGTCGGACCCATGTGCCTCGCGATACACCCACATAACCGCGTCCAGGTCCTCGTCCACATTGGCCGGACGTGATTTCTTCGTCAGGACGGGTTTGCGCGTCCGTACAGCCTGTGTGCACACGGATTGTGATACAGTCGCTTAATGATTCCATGAGGTTACCGCACTCCGACACAATACGTCATGCTACATGGTGTCGCAGACTGCATGCCGTGTACTGCAACTACCTCGCGCAGCGCCGTCACATACTGCCTGTTGCCGCCTGCGTCCGCGGACACCTCCCGCGCTATCTCGCGCTGCACCTCCTCCTCGATAATGCGGCGTGGAATGTCCTGCCAGTTGCTTCCTCGCACCGGCACCTTCACTGTGCCCTTGTGTGTGTGCTCCCATAGGTTCGTGGATGTCTCGTGCGTCAACCCACGCATAGGGATGCCGGCAATCAGGTGCACAATCTGGTGCACCTTCGGGATGTTCCAGCCTGAGATCTGGTCGGGAAACGCAGCGACGATTGCCGCCATCATTCTGCACAGCGACACGTGAGGCGGATATAAGTCCGGATGTAATGGCACATCACATTTCAGCACATGTCGTTGCACACCACTCCCCATACTACACCTACACATTCCTACAATTTGAAAGTTTAGTGCACACCAGGGTCTGCACGAATCACGGAACTTACGTCACTGCCATTGCTCTGACGTCGTCCAGGGTGTCGTCCGTGTGCTTTGTCACGCCGACAAGCGCCTTGTAGAAGCTGGCGTATGCCACAAACGCCGCCACCTCCCGTTGCCGTTTCTCCTTCTCCGCTGGTTTGCTCCTCGCCATACTGTCGGCAATCAGCAAGGGCATCATTTGCATCATCCCCCTGTGCTTGAAGGCTGCGTAGTTCGCCCCACTGCTAAACCATGTGGCCCCTCCTGGTATGCGCACCACACTTGCGCGCGTGTCCTTCTTTTGCTCCTTGCGGCGCCTGCCAACCCACCCATCTACGGTCAGCCACGTGCATTGCATGTTCATCACGCGGCAGCTAGAAATATCCGGATGAGAGCGTACACACCTCTCAAATTCCCTTCGCTCTGGCTTGCTCTTCCCCACCATGAAGCACTTGCCCATGCGTGGGAGCATGCCTGCGTCCAGGACGTGAAGAAGGTCCGCGGCGCATGCGAGGAACACGTTGCCCCATGTTGTCTCTGCGAAGTTCCACCTCTCCAAGTAACACTGCTGCTCATGTACATTGACACACTAAGATGGGCATTGACACACGCTGAAGTCCAGGGTTTCTTAGTGTGGTACTCGGTTCTCACCTGCACCGGGTGCGTCGACCATTGCTTTTTGATTTTCTCGGCCGCCTTAGAGTCCGGGGCCAAGTGGATTGCGGCCACTACTCGTCTATGGAGCTCTACAGTCCGCACCACTGACTCCTGCGTAATGTCGGACAGATGTGTTTCCTTGGTGTAGCACGACGAACACGGCCGGTGCGATCCTTGCTGCATCGTTGCTGTGGATCTTGACGACTCTGGGTAGTCACCAAGCTGACCGAAAAGACATGGAAACGCCTTGACCACCTTTCCCGTAGCATCGGTGACGTAGAACCATCGAAGCTCTGCACTGCACGTGTCGCCACACCAAATGTCATTTACGTGTCTCATCCATCATACTATGCTTGTAACATACACCGCTCCCCTTACCCTCGGTGTGCCCTGAGTAATGGCTCAAAAATCACTTCCATGCACGCCTGGAATACTCGTGTCTTCTCTGTTGACGACGCCCACTCTGGCGGGAATGGCAGCACTCCCGCCATAAGGTGTCCCGGCTCCTGCCAGCGTAGCGCTTCCGGGATGTTGTATAGACTGATGAGTACCGGCCACGCAGCAAGCCTGCCGTTCCTGGATACGTGCGTGCTGTCGCTGTACACGATCACCCCCAGCACAATGCAGTCTTCGTCTGGCATGCTGGCCTGTGCACGTTGAAAGACCGGTATTAGGACTAGCATAAATTGATCCGGGCGTTATCTTCTACAATGGCCATACACCTCACCTGCGCTTCGTGGCACCACTTCCCAGTGTCCGGCGTGCTGTAATGACGTACGTCCTTGGTGTCCTCCTCGTCCGTGCGCGGTTTGGTGACAAACCCCGCGACGTGCTGAAATGCCCGTAACAACTTCTTCACCAGCTGCCAAACACACTCCCGCTAATTGTTAAGGGATGAGTATAACAAGCAGTTAATCTATACATCGTCATTCCATGTATGCGGAGTGACTCTGGTTTTTTCTCACCAACTCCGTGTCCCGGTAGTGCAACAGCAGCGTGCACATCCTCCCTCTTGGTCCGTAGCACTTGACGCCCTTCGTCTTCCATGACACCTGGTCAACTGGTGCCCTTTCGCGCCCAAACCGTCTAACATCCACGAAATTGAGCCACCTCCGCACGTCCCTCAAAGAGAACTTAGGGTTCTGGAAAATGCTGAGCAGTCTATTCACCTCTCGTCGCGACAGATCGGCTTCGCGGAAGAAGATGTACAGCTCTATGAGAGTATTGAAGCCGTCGTCTATATGTGACATAACACTCTCCTCCCCATCGCTCTCCTCAGCGGGATCTATGGGATCGTCTGGTTCATCGACAACTGCCGCAGGGTCCACTTCTCCGCCCGACGCCGAAGCGCCTCCAATGTTGTTTGTATAACGCACGGGTGTTTGGGGCCTGGCTCCGCGTCTGGCGCGGAGCGCGTCCCGATACGCCTCCACCAGCCGCTGGGCACGGGAGTGTTGAATCTTGCGCCTGCATTTAATATTGTTCGACACATGCGACTGGAGTGTGTTGTCGTCAACATGCTCCAGTCCGCACGCCTCGCAGACGTTGCCCAGCATTGCTAGAGCTTGTGCTAACCCTAACTTCTGCCTACCGATAAGGCTGTTCGTCCATCCGAAGGCACAATATGTGCCTGAATGTTTGCAACTGTTGCAGGTCTCTCCCAGCTCGGTTCCAGCGTATTCATCGCCGGTAGAAACGAGGTTGGTCCATATGACATTTGGCACGTCAGTTGACCTGGTTGACCTGGTCGCTACGACAGACATTTCCGCGATGGAAACGACGGAACATGGTTTCCGCGTCCAAAACTTGAGCAACCTCCGTATCGTTCACATGCACGGCGCTGCGCCACGGTGCATCCATCCCGGCCTGTGTGGGATCGTGGAGTTGTGGAGGACGCTTTATCGTAGATGTTACCTGCGACATTTGATGCGGACTCAAGAGTGGCGCGACGGCTCTGAGTTCCGGCTCCCGCCCCTGTTACACATGATTCGATGGATGGGGGCCTCGTGGTCGGAAGCCACGCCTGCGTCGGTCCATCTTAGCTGGTGGCGCGCTGGATGTGTGCCAGCAACATGG